GAATTAAATAGATGTTTAATTTTTAAATTGTAATAAAACTTTTAAGTTTATTTATAAATTTATATGCTTTGTAGAGTCATATGTAGTACCTGCTGGAACAACGGTGCAACTTTTTATTTACGGAGCTCACAGAGATCCCAATTTTTGGCCAGATCCAGAAGCATTTGATCCAGATAGATTTTTACCCGAGAATACCCGAAATCGTCACCCTTACTTGTATATACCATTCAGTGCTGGACCACATAACTGCATTGGTATGCTATAGTTTCTTAATACATTGTTATTTAAACAGATTGCGATATTATAATATGTATATATCATATCATAGGTCAAAAATATGCCATGCTGGAAATAAAGGTGATGGTAGCCTATCTGATACAGAATTTCTACGTGGAGCCTATTGATTATTTGAAAGATGTTCAGTTGAACATGGGTATAATAATTCATTCTTCTGATCCAATTCGTGTAAAATTTGTTCCTATCTCATAAGATTATTACGTGTCTTTTAATCAAATTTCGATTTAATAAACCTACCTGTGTGAAAGTAGCCCCCCAATATTAAAAAATCTAAAATTTTCTTGTGGCATACGTTTGCCTATCGTTTGCCCACCAATGCCCCGTTTGAATTTTTGTTTGCTCCCCTCTAGTTCAAAAGTTATGCACAAATCAATTTTTGGGGGGCAAAGTTCAAACTAGCCCCCCAATATTAAAAAATCCAAAATTTTTTTGTGGCATACGTTTGCCCATTGTTTGCCCACCAATGCCCTTTGTAAATTTTTGTTTGCCCCCCTCTAGTTCGAAAGTTATACGCAAATCAATTTTGCGGGGGCCAACTTCACACGTTCTCTCAAATTGATTTGCATATAACTTTTGAACTAGAGGGGGGCAAACAAAAATTCAAACGGGGTATTGGTGGGCAAATGATGGGCAAACGTATGTCACAAGAAAATTTTAGATTTTTTAATATTGGGGGGCTAACTTCACACAGGTAATAAACCTTCATAAAAAGCAAAACCTGCCATTAACAGTGATGTACTCCGGATAATTTGTCGTATTTATTACGACGATATTGTATCACTTTTGGGAGCGTCTTACAATCGGTTGAATATGATTTCTTTTACGAAAGAAAGACTTGCTTTAATAAATAATTCTTATGTATACATTTATCTGCTGCAATTACATGATTTATTTTTAGTTAACTGTGTAACAATTAATTTCTTTAGAGGACAGATTTTTTCATAAATCTTCATTTAAACTCAGCTTTGATGATCCTGAACATGATATTTCTTAACAAATGAGAATACTACTAATTATTTACTTTTTGTTATAATTATAATGGACACTCTTTCTCAATATAGGGTGTATTTTTGATGTATATTTTCATATAAAAATATTAATAATATTTGTAAAGAAATTAAATTTTTTCATTTAAATTGATATTTCTTATAACTTTTATCACATATTGTCAGAATTAATATTGTATTAAGTGTAGATTGCAATTACTTTTTGTAACCTTTAGGACAGAGTTAATAAATTAATATTATAATAATAATAATGTATTATTTGTATATTTAAATAAATGTCTGGCAGATGCTAGAAATTAAAATTTAAACTTAAATTATGTTTAGATTATATAGTCTCTTCAATGAGATATAGATGAAGGAGCGAATCTCAGGCATTGATTTAATAATGCAAATATGCAAATAATACTATTCATATAATATTCATAAACAATAAATCGTTTACCTTGTCTTGACTAGCACTACAGACGCGCGCCCGGCGCGCGCTATTTAGCTGCACTTTTTACTTTTTACTATTATTTACAATTACACATCAACCTCAATGCACGCAACTATCA